AAATTCTGAATCTGTAAACAAAAATCAATCCCAGTTGTCTGCTGACAACGACTGACAGACAGTATCCTATATAGACCGTCAGATAGTGACCGATTTAGGTGCCCCATTTTCGCATACAAGCCTTGAAGAGGGGTGAAAAGTACATCGATGTTGAGTAGAATAAAAGAAAATTTACGTGTGGCTCTTGGGGATAACATATGGAAAATTCGATTATCCTTTTCAGAAAAATTTTCCGACCCCAAAATGCACTTATACATTTGAATCATTCAAGAAAATATGTTTTTCGGTCTAGTGACGTAAGTTTTCATACATTCGATAGAAAAATCGGGCAAAATTTCGATTTTTTCCTTTGAAGTTTACGCCCTTATTTCAACCCTTTAGCCACTTGCAACATTAAAGCCTTTGGTTTTCCGAAGCCTAGTTCTATTAATTAATCATATAGTAAAAACGGCTTGCGTGGAAAAATGGATAACAAATAACCTTTCGTTTTTGTTAGGGAAAATCGAATTTTCCATGTGTTATCCCCAGCAGCCACTCGTAACTTTCCTTTCATTCTACTTAAAATCGATGTACTTTTCAACCCTCTTCGAGGCTTGTATGCGAAAATGGGGCACCTAAACCTGTCACTATCTGACGGACTAATAAAAATAGTTGACAAACATCTAGGTCTTCAAATCCCTCAAAAACTTTTGGCTGTGGTCAACTCAGTGAATTATTAATAGCAGCACCACAGAGAAACTGGATATGGGTAGGAGGTCTACATCATACTACTTCCCTCGAAAATGTGCAGAGATACAAAAGCGGCGTAAGGCGTGGACGACATGGGACACCGCCTACGGCCTCGCATCTCAAAGATTTAATGCAGCTTTCTTTGACTCATGAAAAATATTTATTGTGAGATGATATATTATCGCGGCGTGTTAATGTCATAAACAAATTACGGCAATCTAACTAATTTAAGCATTGAACTTGAACATTTGCATACTTTTTGTGACTGGATCAAAGAATATCGACAAATTGGGTTCGAATAATGCTTGTCTGACAGTCGTCACCTCAATGAGAAAAGCAGTTAGGATATGGCAAAAGACTTTAAATATAAAAGGATAGCAAAAAAAATGATGTTCAATTATGAAAGCAGCAATGAACCAATACAGTCCCTCAAAACCCAGTAAGAAAAAGATTGATCAATATGGAGTCAAGACTTATATCTTTAAATCAGTATTTAGAAAATTTTGGAGTTCTATATAATCTAAACAAGTTAAAAAATATTCCAAAAGAGCATATATTAAAAAAACTCCCAAGATTTACACAGTTCTGCAAGTGGGTGGGAGCAGTGATTTCGAACCTTACAAATTATATGAATAATTACAAACAATGATCCCAAATTTGCCAGACTTCATTTAAAGATGTGAAGCAGCTGCTCCAATACGTAACAGAAAATAACCAAATGTGTTAACAGTACCAGTAAGTATATAGCCTCAGCTGAAAGGAGCTTTTCAAAATTAAAACAAATAAAAAATTAATTAAGAAGTATAATGGGCCATCAAAGTCTATCAGCTTCCGCAATTTTATCTTTTCAAGCAGATAGCATCAAAGCTGGATTTGATACAGTTATTAAGAAGTTCAGTAAGGCTGAAAGCAGGAAATTTAAGCTTCTTTAATTTTTTACTGTTAGTAGTTATTACTTAATAATGTTAAAGTGTAGATGTTTACATTTTTATGAATAAAAATTTAAATATAATTTTTTTTTCACTACACAAAATCCGTCTTTTTGCACCCCCAGAGGGCCTCGCAAAATTAATCTTGCCCACATCAAATTCAGGTCTTGCCCCGCCACTGCAGAGATATATACACAAGAAAATTTTATTGGAAAAAATATTATTTGTTTTGATCTTAAATCTAAATATAAGAACAAATGTTTTATAGTTGGCAGTTTAGACATGTCTATGAATGAACTACTTGATCCTATTAACTGGCCTGGCAAGGTTACCATTCATCCCTTTCAAAACAACTAATCAGCAACAGGCTCTTTTGGAAACTGGTTCAGCCTTAGCCAAGCCCCTGCTATCTTTTTTTGGTGCGGTTCCCAGTAATCAATCTGGATATGTAAAATTTAAAATCTTACAACTAAATGTTCAAGCCATGAGCCATAAGACCAACAAACGAAGTTTTCTTAGAAGAAGAAAAGCCTGATATTCTTAGTATCGCTGAACACTGGTGCAATCGGGATGGTATTCAATTCACTTCTGCTCAAGGATATGATCTTGTTGCCTGTTTCTGCAGATCTATTCACATACATGGAGAGCCTACTATATATGTTAAAAGCTGCTACTAGGTTCAAAAACTGAGTTTGCAGCATTTAACTGTAAATGTTGTGCCATCAAATTTGTATATCACAACAGTAAGTTCTGTATTTTAACTTTCTACCGTTCGTCAAGTGGTAACTATGATGAATTTCTTCATCACCTTTCTCTAATTCTTGAATTCTGTACTAAACAGGCGAAGGATGTTTTTTATGTGATGATTTAAACATTGACTATTTAAATGATAATACTCAAAAAGATCTGTTTGAAGAAGTTTTAATTAGTTACAACCTATCACTCACCTCTAAGGCTCCACACGAGTGTTTACAAATAGGTTGTGTGAAATATTATCCACCAAAGTAGACTATATTTTAAATAATGTTGATGTGCAGTGTTGTATTAGTAACGTTTTTGAAGCCAACTTTAGCGTCCATAGGGCTTTCGCGCTTGAATATAATCTACCAAATATTTGCAATAACTGCAATAAGGATAAATCCAGAATATTAGAGACATTACTGATCAAAACTTGGAAAACTGCGATCCGCATTGTCCGCCTTTAGTTTTAGTGATTGTTAATGATGTAGATTCTGGTTTTCAAATTGTCTTGGACGTTTTAACTCATGTTATAAAAATTTGTTGTCCAATTAAGAAATATAAAATATCAGCAAACAAACACTCTGTAGGTTGGATTACCCAAGAGGATCGTCAGGCTAGTCAATACTTAAAAAAATATTTCTGGCTTACTAGAAAAATAGGTAGTGAGACATCTCTTGATGTACAAGAATGCTAAACACGAATATAATATTTTGCTTAAAAATACTAAATTATCATTCCATGAAAATTTAATAAAAAATCTAATAACAAAAATAAGACAGTTTGGAACTTAGTTGACAGGATAACTGGTTGAAAAAAGGCTGATAAAAATACAACATTAAACATAAATAATGAATCAATTTTTGACTCTAAAATTATAGCTAACTCTTTTGGTAAATACTTTGCTGAAGTCAATGAATAATCTTTAAATACATTTTGGAAATTCAAGATCTGAAAACTGCACTGTGGCTGATATGGATAAGACATTCTTTTTTGAAACTGTTGACAAAGATGAAGTTGTTGCCATTCTCAAGCAATTAAAAAAACAAAAGAACAGATGCAGAAAATATAACAATAAATATCATAAAATCAATCATTAATTTTATCTCAGAACCTTTAGCTCACCTAATAAATTTTTCAATCACTATGGGTAAATTTCCATCCATTTTAAAAATAGGCAAAAAAGGCAAACCACATGAAATAACTAATTACCGGCCTATATCGTTGTTAAGCATTTTTGAAAAAATTGGTGTTCAATAGGGTGTCCACATTTTTAGCAAAATTCAACAATATATCCAAGTGCCAACATGGCTTTCTTAGGGGGAAATCCAGAGTCGGCTACATGCAATCTAGTAGAATATATTTATGAATTATAAGATCATGGAAAACAAGTTGCAGGAATATTTTTTAATTTATCGAGGGTGTTTGACTTTCTACATTTCAGATTCACTGAAAGCAAATTATATAATCTCGGTTTTACGGGAATATTTTTGAACTGGTTCATTGATTATTTATCGCATAGGACAATGATTGTTAAAATTCAAGATTCAACATCCGATTGTCATGAAGTTAACCTAGGAATCTCCAGGGGTCTGTGCTAGGACCACTGATATTTCTGCTGTTTATCAATGATTTGCCACAGTATTTTAACTCAACTCTATGTAGCTTAAGTCTATTTGCAGATGACACCTCATTAGCTGTTGCAGCACGAACCCACGATGACCTGAAATTGCTTGCTGAAGAACTAATAGACTGATTTAACTGGTGCAAATCAAATGGGACAAAACAACTCTAGTATTTTTAGCCTGAATTTAAATTCTACCATCTACCAACCAAAATTAAAAGTGGACAAGTTTGATAACAGCTTCAACTTTTACAAAATTCCTGGGTATCTATGTGGATCAGCGTCTTAACTGGTCAGAACATATAACCGCTCTCTGTAAACAGCTTAGCAAGGCCTACTATGCAATTTCTCGCATAAAAGATAGTGTACCTTTTAGTGTGTTATTAAACATTGCTACAATGTTATTCTTTGGGGTAATGCTTCAAACAAAGATCATGTTTTTATAAACCAAAGGAAAATATTTAACATACCATACCGTGAGTCCTGCAGAGACGTCTTTATTGATAACAGAATTTTGACATTTCCATGTATATACGTTTTAAAATGCTTATTAAAAATAACTTAAATTCATGTTGTAAACTATCCTTTTTTCATAATTATCAAACTAGAAATTCGAATCCGATTCCAAAACGTGCAACATCCAAGTTTGAAAATTCTTCTAAATATATGGGCCTAAAACTCTACAACCAGCTTCCTAATCATTTTAAAAACATGAATTTAAACACATTTAAAAGATCTGTCAAGCAGTTACTGTTATAAAAGGATTATTATAGTGTGTGGGAATATTTTTCTGACACTTCCATCTAGGACTTGTTTCTGTTTCTACTCTTATTTGTCTTATATTGTGCTTAATGTAGTATTTTAACTCTCCTATACATTTTTTATGTCTTAAAGGATGAATAAATATTATTATTATTATTATTATTATCATTATCAGAAATTTTGGACCATCTTATTTCGACAAAAATTTAAGAACTTACCGCAGCCTTTTCAACTTTCTGAAAGCACTTATTTAACGACAAGTTATGCCTAACACTGTTCTTCCAACCAGTGGGGGCGTTCTTGAAATACGGAAAGTGGTCCAAAATCCAGGCGTAGATCTCCTTGACGGGCAGAGCCTTCTGCATGGAATCTTCTATCGCCATAAAGATTAAACAGGAAAATGAGTACGGTGGCTTGTTTGACGTATGTATCACAGGGTCGTAGGGTACATTGTGGGGATGCTTGTTCCTAGGTGGCGCTGTCACTTGATTGGGATTTGTGCAGCCGTAACTGTCTGATGATTCTATCGATTCGTCCGTGCAACTGGTTGGAGTCGAATGGTCGATCAGGATTTCGTTATTGTTTTGATACTTGATTGGTGTGGAGATATGGCTGTTGGAGGGAGAAGGGTTGATGTTCATACCTAGACAGTGAACGGTTTAAGAAACGTCACTTATTAGGAATTAGATTTTTAGTAGGCATATTATTGACAGTATTGATCATGAGTGAAGGTACATTTTAAAATTACAAGAGAGGTCGAGTGGCAGCTTGTTTGAAAAAGATTTAAATCGCTTCATTTAAAGGTTTGTTCCAACAATAATATAAAATCGGTTTACCCACTAGCGCGATTCTGAGGAGTCTAGAATTGGTGTTACAACAAACTTCGAACTCAAAACTGTACAAAAATATAGTGATCCATCATAACCAAACCTAATCACAAACCAGTTTCTGTACTATCAGTTTTTGGGTCGAAATAGGAACGAATAATCAAGAGATGCACAAAACTAAATAAACCACTACCTAACCTGTATTTGTTTTGGTAGTATCGTAGTCTCGATCGTAGTTTAATTTTTATTCATTATCATTTAAGATTTATTGTTGTTAACTCATTAATAATGGAGTGACAAAAGTGAAGATATAAACTCAGAGGCATTTTAAAATATACTTAGGGAGTATAAAATGAAAATAAATATTTTATATACAATAATAGAAAGTTATTGCAAGTTCACTTAAGGTCAGTCACTATTAGTGCCGCTCTTATTTTGACATCTGAGCATGCGTAGATCACTAACTTTAATAAAGATTGTGCCTGTCCTTAATAAGAGAGTTATTGCAAGTTCACTTAGGATCAGTCACTATTAGTGCCGCTCTTATTTTGACATCTAAGCATGCGCAGATGTTTATGTTCTAACACTGACTTTATTAAGGATTGTGCCTGTCCTTAATTGTGGATGTTTAAGGGCAGCAGGTAGTGGCGACTTTATAGCTTTCGGATGCGCTCGTCATTTAAACCTTCTAAAATTATAATTTCTAATGCCTCTTTAATATTAGGTACTATTATAGAATTTATTTGACTCTAATTACGATGTCACTATTAGTGGCTGGCTTTATAGAAATTTGCAATATCTCTCTATTAAGGACAGGCACAATCTTTATTAAAGTTAGTGATCTGCGCATGCTCAGATGTCAAAATAAGAGCGGCACTAATAGTGACTGACCTTAAGTGAACTTGCAATAACTCTCTATTCAAATTTTAAATTTGACATATTTGTCAACACAAAAATATGTTCTAATCCTTGTCTGGTTGTGGACTGATTAATATATGGGTCCAAGATTATCATTGGAACAAACCTTAAAACATTTCTCTACTAATGTAGATCAAAAATTTATCAAGAACCAAAAAAATGTTCGTGGGGTGAAATAGAAAGTGACTATTTTAAAATACACTTTCGTTGGATATCCACAGAAGAATTATCTAGCACCAATTTTGACACAAAAGAAATTGTTCTAGTGTGGGGTTTACATGTGCATTCTAATTATTTAATGCTTTTTAGGGTATTCCCGCGAACCCTCGTGACTATCGTCATTGTAAAAATATTGTTTACATTATCCATTTAGTAATTGTAATCAAAATACCAACCTTTCAGAATATCCCGTTCGTGCAACCAATTCAAGTTGGTGAGGTCATCGTCGGCCCTGCTTTGGCTTTGGGCGACTGCCAATAACATAGAAATCGGCGATTGCGCATCCCTGATGGGAGTCCCAGCGATGGGACTCGCCGGTACAGACATCTTGGGAGACAGTCTGCTCTCCTCTTGCGGAGTTATAGCTCTTTCAGGCGCCATATTTGTTACCTGTAAAGAGAAAATGGAAATTCAAATAGACATTGCTGACTGTTTCAATAAATAATAACAAGACTACAGGAATAAAAGTCATAATTTATTTTAAAGTACGGCAAATGGCAGACTTAAATTTTCTATAACATTTTCATGAAATTGTAGCTCAATTTCGTTAATATCGAGCTGATTTTCGTAAAAAAGGAATACATCACAAGGCGGTAAGTCGCAAGATCTTGCTGGCCAGTTCTACGCGCTACGACACAACCCAGAAACTTTCCTTGCAACGACTCAATTGTTTCTCATGTAGTGTGACAGGTCGTCCCATCCTGCTAAAACCACATCTCTTCAGTATCCATACTATCTAACTCGATGCCATAAAAACTCAGCATATCACAATAGCGTTCGCTGTTCACAGTAAAGTGAGTTATAACAATAGAGTTATCGCCAAAGTCTGACAGATACACATGCGCATTATTTTGGTAAGTGTTAAAGAAGAATACGGTATTTCCTCATTTTTGAAAAATACAGAAACCTTATAATTGAAATACGATAAATTATTTGTACATGAACTATTTCGCAAATGTTATTCGGGTAATAGAAACATGTGTTTCTGACATTATTTTTGAATTTTAAATGAATTTTTGCGCCCAGAGTCTCGGTGAAAGAACACGCTTCTACGCGGACAATAATAATGGGCCTATAACAACTAATACAAGTTGGTATTCCAAAATTAGATAACACTATTGACGGCCTTTTTGCAAGTTTGCGATTCTAACTTTGTCTCTACTTCCATTCACGTATCTTGAGCAACTTTTTCTGACTTAGGCATTTAGATGAAAATTAAAAAACTATTATTATTCTCGCTTCAAACAGCAAATATAGTAACTACACATTATTACAAAATTACAAAGTTGTCAAATATTATATTCGGAATGCAATATTTGCGTAGCTAGTTTCAGTGGTAAATTATTGTATTTTTATTATAGTTGAATTGTTGTATCTTACTTTTGTGGACGTTTTTAATTTCGGTTTAAAATTAACACGTACATGAAGTTTCTGTCCCCTGGTTTATTAGGGAATAAAATGATGTTCCAAATATTTTATATGCATAGTGCACCGCCGAAATGCAATTAAGGGATTTAGGTTATTAAACAATTTTATTGCTGGTAAATACTAATCGTAACTAATTATCAAAACTTAAAAAAATATGTTTTTTTATTTGCGGTTTAATTTATAAAAACGAATTACTTATCCAAGTAAATAATAGATTGTTATTCTTATAATTTATTTATTTATATTCGGGCAAGCTCATTTCAATTACAAATTACAATTTTAAAAATTAATTAAAACATCACAAATATTTATGGTGCTGTAGCACAAAGACATTATACATGTCTTACAGACTATTGTAACAAATTAGGTTAGTCGAAAGTTAAAAAAGACAAAATACAAGTAAAACATTAGCATTAAAGCTCAGTATTAAGTAATTGAGTTTTAAATGATGAAAAGGGAATATTGAACAGCCTGAGATTATTGTGCAATTTAGCTAATCTAAGCATTCTTGGAATGCAACTGTTAAAAGCTTGGTTTTATCTATAAAAAGTACATAAAATGTTTGCAGTTGCCTAGTTGAACGAATTTAAACAAGATTTACTTTTTCAAGAAGTTTAGGACAATTACATCTACTATTTATAATATTAAATAGCAAAGTAATGTCTCTTTGTTTCGTCTAGTTTCCAAGGATGAGATGTTCAGAAACTGTTCCATGAAATCATATTCACAATAAAAACCCCCAATTTAAAAACTATATATCTGAGAAATTTGTGCTGAACACTGTCTACTTTCCTACTATATTGAATATAGTGTGATAGAGACCAAACAGAAGAGCAATAGTCAAGGTGAGGTCTGACCAGCGAACAATAAAGAACTTTAATTGCAGTTGTGTCAGTAAAATCATGGGTCAACCTTTTGATAAATCCAACATTTTCATCGATTTGTGGACAGCAGCAGATGTGTTGATTAAGGGTGTGATTACAGAACATCTGCAACTTTGCAGATCTGCAAATATGGCGGACTTACAAATGCAAGTATTCCAAAAAATATCTGCAAATTCGCAATATTTATTGTGGTTTATTACCCCCAACAACACTAAACCCAAATTTGAAATACGAAAACTTGCATGTGTAAGTCAGTCATATTTGCAGATTTTCAAAGTTGCCGCCATATTTGCAGATCTGCAAAGTTGCAGACGTTCTGTAATCTCACCCTAAAGCTTAAAAGGGATCAAGAATAATTCTATAGTCTTTAATTTGATAAACAGAATCTAAAATATGCCCATTTAAGTTATAGTCAAATGTAGTTGGAGGTAAGTGGGATCGATAAAAACGCATATGGCATTTATTGGCATTCAAAACCATGCCATTTAAAGAACACCATTCTGATCAATTATCGAGGTCAGACTGAAGTCTACGGACATCATCATGGGTTTTAACAACTTTTTAAGTCATCTGCAAATAATAAAGCTTTGCTGTTATGAAAACAATAAATTATATCATTAATAAATAAGTTAAATAATGAGGGTCCTAGATAAGAGCCCTGATGAACACCTGAGGTTACTTGAAATAAGTTAGAATAGTGGTGATTGGCTCTAACCTTCTAAGTTTTGTTAGTAATAACCCATCCACACCATATTTGTTAAGCTTTTGAAATAAAGGAGTATGGGTAACACTGTCAAAAGTCTTGGAAAAGTCAGTATAGGCAGAATCAATTTGTAAACCTTTTTCCAAGGCTACTGACAAGAAGTCGATATAAGTGACTAAATTTAACTATGTTAATTTTCCAGCACAAAAACCATATTGTTTTTTATTTATGGCGGGGCAGTCATAAGTAAGGTAATCAGTTTTTTCCTACGCCCATGTCAGTAAACGTTAAAAATCGCACTGTCAACATTCCTTGTAAATTACATTTAACAATAACATGCACCTAATGAGATCTCGTAACATACACATGCGTTTTGATAAGAAAAATTAAATTTCTTAGTTTAATCAAATTGCAATCAAATTTTTATCTACGTACTACTTTATTTGGTCTATTTACATAAATTTAGTCAATTGAAAAACATAAAAACTTTTAGCATTAGCGAGATACATTTTGGTTTAAAAGAGTGATGCCCCTAAATGTCGGCAACACATTATACAATTTTTCAAAAAATAATTCGCGTTTCCTTTGTAACAAAATATTGTATCCGAACATTTTTTTCAACTTTCCCTACGAATATGTCTGTTAGTAGTGAAAGTGATGAAATTATGAGCACTCCACCGGAGATTTTAGAATAAGCTCAAGCTGCCACACATAATTTGTTACCGCTAAAATCCAAAGAAAGGTACGAAAATTTATGGATTGGCGACACAAGCATAACGTTAAATCCCTTTTGGAGAATGTTTTACTTGCGTAGGATTTTGAAGAAATATCAAAAACTATGGATATATCTTCTCTAAGGGCCATTTATTCAAAGCTGAGAACTACACTAAACATTTATAATAACATAACAGATGATCCAAAACTTATTGCCCTACTGAGGCGGAAATCGGATTGATTTAGAAGTAAAAAGCGAAAATCTTTTCTTCTAAACAAATTATTAAGTTTCTGAAAGGTACCCCAGACAATAAACATTTGTTGTCAAAGGTAAAGAATTAAAATATTGTGTAATTATCATTAGAGTTTAAATAATTGAGATGTCATTTATTTAATAGAAAAAAATAAGTGGGCGTAGAAAAAAATAAGTGGGCGTAGAAAAAGTATAGTACGTAACACGAGTTGTAAGCCCTGAAAATTGTGATGGGTCGATAATATTTGATGTCAGATTTGCTACCCAATTTTTTTATTGGGATGACATAAGAGTTTCCAATAATTGCGAAATTCCCCTGTGTCGATTGATTTATTGAAAATATTAGAGGGCGAGACAGTATGAAGCTGCAAATCCTTAGTAAGATAGAAGGAATAATGTCAGGGCATTTTTTTGTATCAAGGTTTGAAAATTTATCGTAAATGGTCGAAATTGGGATGTAGTATGAGGAAACATTTACTTTAGATTCAATTTGGTTATTGTTTAAATTTAGAATATGTGTGGTGTAAACTGAAGAAAAATGCCTTGCAAATAGATTTGCTAGTTTACTACTGCAACATGCAAAAGTGCCCTCTATCTGGTATACTGTTATTTGCTCTTTTATATTTACAAAATTCCAAAAGGCTTTAACATTCGTCTTAACAGAGGTTTCAACAGACGATATACAATTTGAAAAGATTTCTCTAGATAAAAACTTACATTGTGCTCTTAGCTGACTAAATATTTCATAATTTTGGGGAGTCCTGTTATGTTTAGAAATCCTATGAGCAACCTTTTTATCATCAACCAAGCTTCTAAGTTGCGAGGAATACCAGTGTAGACATTTTTTCGTAGATACTTTCTTTAAGGTTGCTAGTTTGGTCCAAGTGTATAAATATCTTTTTTTCCCGGCCAATATTGTTTTAATTTTTTGTTTTTATTGATAATTATTTATTTAAAATTCGCATCGACAACTACAAAAATTTATAAGCATATTATCTATCAGTAAATTTTAGTAGCTGCCACACTTCATGCATGGTCCAGAATTGTTAAAATAAAGAACAGACATCTACCTAATTATTTGTTTAATTCACTCTTCCTACATTACACATTAGAGATGGGATTAATATGAAAATAAAAGTAGACAATTGGCAACAAAATATAAATTCTTTGGATTTGTTGTTACACTTCACGAGACATAAAATTTTAAACTTTCTTCAGCCTCCAGTGATATCTAAATGGCAAAATTTTGCAAAAGTAATTATAAATGGTCGTTTCCTATGGACTATTAAACATTTTTGACTGTTATAGCCGTTGAGATAGAATAAACAGGAGGTGCTATGACGGTACTAAAAGTGTCCACACCTTTGCATTACACTTTTACGTCATGTGTCAAACTCGAGCAAGTTGA